TTTATAATATAATATTGAAGCGTAAGAAGTGACGAAATAAGATTTTCTAGTATTAAAAATAAATAAGGAAAAGTATACAGACAATAAGAATCAAGCGCAGTAATTGAAGCAATAAAATTATCCATTGATGATGGCTCGGAATGATGCCAAAATGTTTGTTATTTATTGATTAATAAATCATTGATAATTTTGTTGCGTTCTAATTATTGCGCTTGACTCTTATCGCCAATGTACTTTTTCTTATTTATTTATAATATTGTTCTTAAATATTCATTTTGTTTAAAATCTTTAGTATTTGTGGAAGCGTATTGCAAGAAGCGCTGTAAGTATACTGATAAATAATATTGGGTCATCTAAAAAGTATCCGTGGTTTTTTGTCACTAGATGTGTTGACCATCAACGCGGATACTTTTTAGATGACCCAATACATTCGATTTTACAACGAAACATATCCTTATATTTATATCATGCTCGGATCCCAATGTGCATCATTGATCACGACTATAACGACCAAAATTGCGATTATCATTGAACAGAATTTCCTCACACCTCGCAAACTGAGATAAGACGAGTGCTAGCGTCGCTAGCCGAGTGTATTATTGACCGATAGCAGCGCTGAACAATAGCAGCGATGTTATCCATAGTATTACCTACTGTACTCCATTGATAATGGATTATATCAATAATATTGTGTGAGAGAGAGAGGGGAGGGTGGGAGGGAGGGGGAGAAAGGGAAGGGAGGGAGGGAAGGAGGGAAAGGAAGAGAGAGAGCGCAATTTATTTAATTTATTTTATATTCAAATTTTATGTATAAATATTTCAGGACAAACGTTTGTCTTTAAAATGACGTATTTCTGACAAAAATCTAAGACAATTTTTCCTTTGCTAAAATTTTATCCGTAACTTAATTTTTGAATTATAAGCAAAAATAGTGAGCGAATTATAAGTCGTATACGGAAGGTAGGCAAGGGCGGCGCAACGCACTTTTTCCGACGCAAATTTTCAATATAGAGCGAAAAAATGGCTCAAAAATGGAAAAAAAATCATTTTTTCGCTCTAGATTGAAAATTTACCCTGAATAGTCTTATTTTGATGTCAGATTCGTATTTAATAACTCAAAATACATAAGAATAGCTAGTTCTCCACCTCAGCACAGGGTACTTTCTTTTATGGGCCTGTGTAATCAGAAATTTTCCTTCTTTTATAAGTTACATTACATATTAATACGTACACAGATTTATCCATGCACTTGATTGATATTTACAAACGAATCTATTGGCTCACTACTATTTATCACTGCTGATTAATCATTTGGCAACTGAGAATTACTACAAAGACTCGTGAGGACCTGTGTGATTCACGGGGCAGCGTGACTGATAAGAACTAATCAGCGCGTGACAAGGCCCCGATTAGAAGGGAGCCGAATAGCCTCATGGATTCACGGAAAAATTCCGGCCGGCACTCGTATTGTGTGTAGAGTTTCCAATTTCTCTTCTTGTTCCGGTGTTACTACCATTAATGGTGCCGCCGTTATATGACACCCGGAAATGCGGAATTAATATTCAATATGGCCATCTAGATTGGCATGGCATATATACATACATATACATACATATTATACATACATATATATATATATATAAGCTAATAGTTTGCGAGCCACGTATCATTTGCACGAACTGCGTTCGTGTTCGCGATCATAACGCGCGCTGTAAGCGTTATTTATCTTTCTTACTAATAACTAAAGCATTTATAATATCAACTCAATACATTGACTTGTTTACATTGAGCTTCCGTGTCGAGTAACATATGTACAACTTGCCGACTGGCGTAAAATAGTCACGGCAGTGTGCTACACGTAGCTTAGCGCCGAGACACTACAGTATCTCCAGATAACGCGCTTAAGTAATTTTAACTCGTCGAATAATTAATCGGTAGTACTTTATTGTGATTAATAAAGTTAGTAATAAAGTTAATAAATTCCTGATTTTGTTGTTCAACTACTTGTGTAAATCAGTGGCTGCATTGATTTGCGAATTGATGGAATTTGATTGTGATTATCGTGTGCAATATTCCCTTCTTTGTAGTAATTCTCAATTGCCGAATGATTAATTGGTAGTGATTAATAGTAATGAGCTAATAGATTTGTTTGTCAACAATCAATGAAGTACGTGGATAAATCCGTGAATATATTGATAAATGATGAAATTTATAAAAGAAGGAAAACTTCTGAATATTAGTTACTGTATATGTTTCTTTCTTGGATTTAATTCTCAGTCACTAAATAATTAATCGATAGTATATAATAATAATGAACTGATAAATTCGTTCGTAAATCGATCAAATGTGCGTGAAACGCTATAACCCATACAGCACAGAAGATTGAAGCAATATTGTTACAATGTTACAATATTGCAGATTGCAATGTAACATTGCAGAGATATCACAGAAATTAACAATATGCCTGCAAAATGTTAGTAATATGCCTGTAATATTCCAAAAACATTAATTCTTTAATTGTTACAATAATAATAATATAAAAATATAATTTTTTACAATATTTATGTAGTACAGTCTTTTAGTTTGACAGTCATTTTTATGATATGATAATTAATATAATCAATTTTTATATAAAAATAAAAAATTTATCAATCTATTATTTAACGGCCATTTCGTTAGCACATTCGGTACATATCCACTAATACGGTTCTAATGCTGCCTTGCCATGGTGCTGTCCTGACACGATGCAAGTGCAGAACTATATATACTGGATTGATGTGATCTGGTGCAGAATTAAGTTTGAAACTTTAATAACTATATTACAATTAATGATAGTAAACACAAATATTTTCATTATCAAAAGTATTTGTTTTTTATCATATATAATTATATGCTTCTTTATCCGAGTATTCATTCACGATGTCCACATAATTTTTATCTTTTGGTCTTTCTTCTTTTATTACATATAACATGTCTTCTATTTCATCATTGCTACTATTTGTTTTTAATAATTCATTTATAATAAATAATTTTAGTTTTTCTTTATCCACCATTTTGTAATTTTTTGCTGCCTAACTAGTTTTGTTTGTTCGAACACCAAATTGCATTGACAAAAATGTTATTGCAACATTTCTCGAACTCGTTCGGTTCATTCGGTTGGTCCGAATACAAATTCAGCACTATACAGGATCAGTTTTCAATTTGCCGAATACGGCAACTTCAACGCACTGAAAACCCAAATGCGTGGCACCGAAGAAATTCGCACTTAGTGCGCACTAGTGCAGTCTACCGAATATACCATAAGTTTTATATTTATTTTAAATATGAAATAAAAAAATTATATAATATCGAGTTTGGATGCAATCAATGCATCATTATCGAATGAGACAAGAAGCAATTAAGCTGCTGAAAATGATTCATCGAAATATTAATTATGTCGATCGATGATTTATAGGAGAGGGAGAAGGAGAGAGAGAGAGAGAGAGAGAGAGAGGGGAGAGAGAGAGAGAAAGGGGAGGGGGAAAGAAATGTGTACATGAACATATCATTGCGTCACGCGTTTCATGCATGGCAAGCATCTGATCGCAACTGAGCGCCCGCGTTGGATGGTGCATTGCGCCCCTGCCTACTTTCTGTACACAATCATTATTTTTGTTTATAATTCAAAAATTAAGCTACGAATAAAATTTTGGCAAAGGAAAAATTGTTTTAGTATTATATCAGGAGTACGTCATTTTAAGGACAAATGTTTGTTCCGAGACACCTTATATAATAATAATTTTTTTTTAAATATGTGAAATTTTTAAATTGTGCCAATTATAAGTATATTTTGGTAAAACACTAATGTTATATAATTACTTTGAAACAAAAATACATGGAAATAAGGTGCATCTGATTGAAATAAAAAAATTTTAATATTAAGTGTTTGAATAAGTTTCCGCCGTTTTCTAAAAGACGTCGTCATGAATACTACATACATAGAATTTCATTGGTTGTATTTGAGAATACTATACACAACTTTCATATTGAGTATATGATATTTGATGGACGTGTAAACAACATATTTGTCATTCCATTGAAAATGTCGACTTTTGTACCAACAAAACAACATTTGCAAGAAGTTTTACTGCATTTATTGTTAAGAAAAGTGCACTTGAAAGTTCGCTTGTGGAGATGTATAGGGAACATATTCCATTCGAAAGAGTTTCAACGCGGAATGATGATTTCAATAAAAGATAAAGAATGTGAAAGTTGACCAAAAAATTGAAAGATGAAAAACTGGAACCTTACTTAATGAAGATTCATGTCAAAAGCTGAAAAAATTGTTAGAGGCATTAAATGTTCGATTAATTGATTAATCAAATGTTAGCAAATGTTTAAAATTTCAAAAAACAAAACGGTGAAAATTTATTCAAATACAAAAAAATTGGCGCCGCTAGACCAGTCAAGTTTGTTAGCGGCGGTAAGTATTTATATATTAAAATTTTTTTATTTCAATTAGTTGCTCTTATTTTCATTTTAGTTTAAAAGTTATAGCATTAGTGTTTCAACGAAATATATTTTTTGTTTATAATTGGCGCAATTTAAAGATTTCACACATTTTTGAAAAAATTATTACTTTTACAGCTTGGAAAATAGATTTGGAATAAAAAGTTACTTTTTTTCATCAAGAAGCACATACAAGTATATATAATAATTTACATAACGATTTTTTCTAAAAGGAATACTTAGCGCCTTTTTTACCTTCTTTTAAAAAGTTAATTTATGATATTACTATGGTAGTTCAGTTGTGTTTCTAAATCCGAAAAATCATGGCGCATAATTCGAGAGACTATAAACATGGTATATAAATTCACATGAAGTTATTTAAAACGCTCAAGATTCAGCTTCAACCGGTATAGCTTCTTACTTTATTGTGTGTTCACATAATACGGTCCTAATAAATCGTTTATTATTGTTTATATGTTGTTGTTTTATTATTCTCGTTTTTGAAATTGCAGTTGCATCTCCGCCCGATAGACGAGTTACACGAGACGATATTGGGGTAGCCCCGGCTGGTGTAGCGGTGAACAACGCAGCTGCTACTAGCTGCAGCAGTGTAAGCAGTGCGACATCTTCGAAATCGCGCAATCCTTCTTCTTCTCCCGGTCGAAATGGCCAACTCTCCAGTAAGTTTTCGAGGTATTACCCCTGAAATGGTCAAGATACACTTCGACAATTAGATTTCATCTACTTACACGCCCACACAAACATATCTCTGTGTATTAGTTACTGCGCGATTGTATCCGTAAATATATCCATACACGTTTCTTCTAAATACAAAATATTTTTTCAACCTGCTACAAAATTCTTCGATATTCGCGTTGTTGTATAGAAAGTTGTACATATATAAACTATTTGGTAGAATGATCATGTGAATAAGTCAGAAAAAAAATTGAATGTGTCACAATTCTTTGTGTAAAATTGATTTCGAATATATACAATATATACACAGTATATCTGAAAAGTTCGGATTGAGGTTATAAAAAATCAGAGATTTAAGGTTTCATCTTTTCTTTTTATTTAGGCTTCTACATAATCTTCTCCTCTTTCAATACACACCGTTTTAGATGGAAGATATAACGGTTGGAGTTAATAGTCCTCTTTCGGAATCGCCTTCAGTTCATGTATTACGTTCGCTTGAATGGTTGATATGTCCTCAAAAAACTATCCTTTTAAAAGCATTTTTATTTTGGGGAACAAAAAGAAATTTGCCGGTGCGAGATCGGAAAAATACGGAGAGTGATTTATCACTGTGACTTGGTTTGGTCAAAAACCGTAACACAATTAAAACAGAATGAGCTGGCGCGTTGTCGTGAAGGTGTTCAATTCCCAGAGGCAATAAAATCTCATCTGACACGTCTCATTCGATTCAGAAGGCGTTTCAAAATCTCTAAATAAAACATTGAATTAATGGTTTGGCCAAATGGCATAAAATCATGATAAATCAATCCTGCAGAATCAAAAAATGCGATGAGTATTGTCTTCATTTTTTATTTCTGTTGGCGAACTTTCATTGATCTCGCTTCATTAGGGGCTACCTATGCAAACGACTGTCTGTTTGTTTGCGGATCATACATGAAATATCATGTCTCATCACCAGACGATAGTTTTTATGAAATCTGGATCCTTGTCTGCCGTTTCAACAAAATCACGACAACAATTCACACGCATTTCTTTCTGTTCTGGAGTTAAAAAATGTGGAACAAAGCGCGCACAAATTTTTCTACGGTTCAAATCCCTATGATTGTTTGGTAGAAACAGTGTCTTCACCGATTTTTAATTGTTTAGATATCACACGAAGTATCCAACGAGGGTACTCGGTTAGTAAAGAACGCATAGCTTCCACAGCTTCCTTATTTCGAGCTGTTTATGGTCGACCACTTCTCGCGTCATCATCCAGGAAGATTACCAGTCTTCCTTAAAACGTTTAAATCAGTCGAATGTTATTGTACATGACAGTGCATCCTCTCCGAACACTGTTTTCATTATTTTGTGAGTTTTTATTGCAGTTTTGCCAAGTTTGAAACAAAATTTGATGCTCGTTGCTCCATCGTAAAAATTGAATGACACGCTTAAACATATAAATCAGAACACGTCCTCACTTGTCAAGTATTCAATTGATATTAATATAATTCGCACATGTTCTGCATGAAGCTTCTTAGAAATTATTTCTAACGTCGACCGTTAGATGGGACGATTTGTTTCATAAGAAAAAAATCAGTCCGGAAACTTTTCAGACATACTGTATGCGTGTGTGTGTGTGTATATATATATATATATATAT